TTTCACTTCTCTCTGAAGGACGGCCTTTGGCAATTCTTTTAGAAGTGGTCTGCTCTCTCCAAATTCTCTTAGAGTTCACTTATTTGAGTATGTCCGGTTCCCCTTCATTCTTGGTGGATAGTTTTACTGGATACAGAATTCTGGGTTGGCAGTTCTTCTTTCTCCATAGGTTCCAATGAGAAATCTGCAGTCATTTGAATAATTTTCCCCCTATGGGTCATGCATTGGTTTTCTCCTGCTGCTTTAAAACTTTTTTCTTTGTCATTAGTTTTCAGCAATTTGATTATATGTTTGTGGGAATATTTCTTTGGGTTTGTCCTGTTTGGAGTCGCTCAGCTTCTCAAATCTGTAAGTTTGTGTCCTTTTCTTAAATTTGGGAAGTTTTCAGACATTATCCCTTCAAATATTTTTTCAGCCCACACATTTTTCTCCCCTCCCATTGGGACTTCTATGACACACGTGTTAGACCTTTTATTATTGTACCACAGGTCCATGAGGCTGTTAATTTTTTTCAATGTTTTTTTCCTTGCTGTTGCTCATGATGGATAGTTTCTGTTAATCTGTTTTCAAGTTCACTGACTCTTGCTTCTGTCCCCTCCATTCTGTTGTTTGGGCCATAACTGAGTTTTTTATTTCAGTCATTCCATTTTCCAGCTCTAAAAAGATATTTCCTGTTTTTTTTTTAATTGTTTCTTTGCTGTTTTCTATTTTCACTTTTGTTTCAAGAGTGTTCATGATTACTTATTTAGCATTTTTATAATGACTGCTTTAAATTTGTCAAGTAATTCCAACATCGGTACCATCTTGTGATTGGTGTCTGTTGATCGTCTTTTGTCGTGCAAGTTGAGATTTTCACGGTTTTCTTCATGTGCCAGATAATTTTGGATTGCGTCCTGGACATTCTTGACTATTACTTTGTCTCTGGGCCTTATTAAGTTTTTTGGAGAATGTTGGTATTTGTGTTTTTGCAGGCACTTGACCTGGTTAGTTTTAAGCTGCACGTTCTGCCTCCTTCTCTGGCCTTTGGTTCCAGCCGGTGTCAGCTCGGTTTCTGCAGCCTTTGTGCTGCTATTCGGGCCTGTCCTGCATGTGTGCCACCCGATGGTCAGCCTGGGGCCTGGGTGTTGGCCTCTCCCCTGTAATCATTCTTTGGTATGTTCATCAAGATCATATCTACCCCTGCATGAGTGGGGATGAGCCCAGGCATTCGTAAACAGATTTATAGGGTTGCTTTCCCTAGATCTTCCCTTCCTGTCATCTCTTTGATACTGTCTGGCTCCTGGGAAGAGGGCCATTCTTTGCTGCCCTGCAGCCATAAACCGCCTACTTCTGTGAGTGTACCACACTGGTGGGAGGACAGAGTGGAAGAAGCAGGAGCAGGGTTTGTTCCCCCTCCCCCCATAGCTCCCCTGAATGGAGAGGGAGGTTCCCTGCACCCAGAGCAGTTTTCCGCTATCAGCCAGCTTTGTTGCTTCTGCCACCCCTGCCATGATATTGCCTGGGGTCTGGGGTCACAGAGCAGAGGGAGAGAGAAAAGGCCAGGGATTTCCCCTACACTCTCTGAGTGTTAGGGGTTTCCTTTTCTGGAGCTCTCTGTACCATTTTGCTCCCTTCTGGGTTTGAGCTGGGCTGAGTGCAGGTCCAGGGAGTCCAGAGGAGAGAACATGGTAAATCACCACCAGTCTCAATGATAACCTTGGATTCTAGCATGCCTCCCTGATGTGCCTGCTGATATTTGCCCTTCTAAGACTATAGACACCTGACACATGCATTCTGTCCCACTCTCAGATGTGGGTACTCAGTGGGAGGGGAAGCTGGTCCGTCAATCTTACCTGGAACTCTAACCCCTTCCTTCCTTTTTATCTTTAAAGATTTTTTTCATTGTGGTAAAATGCACAGAGCATAATATTTACCTTTTTTTAAAAGATTTTATTTATTTGAGAGAGAGAGAGAGAGAAAGCACAAAGGCTGCAGAGAGAGAGAGGGAGAAGCAGGCTCCCCACTGAGCAGGGAGCCTGACATGGGGCTCAATTCCAGGATCCCAGGACCATGACCTGAGCTGAAGCTTGACTGAGCCACCCAGGTGCCCCAATATTTACCATTTTAACCATTAAAAAAATTTCCCAGTAGGTGCTGAAGGGTTCTTTTTTAAAAACATTTTTTTGTTGTGCTAAAATACACATAACATAAAATTTACCATCTGAACTATTTTTAAGTGTGCAGTCAGCGGCACTAAGTACATCTATCTAGTTCCAGAACATTTCCATCACCCTAAAAGGGGATTCTGTGCCCATTAAGCCGTCACTCCCCATTACCCACAGGCCCTGGTGCCCACTACTCTGCCATCTCTGTTTTATATAAATGGAGTCATACGGTATGTGGCCTTATGTAATGGCTTCTTCACTTAGCACAGTATTTTCAAGGGTCATTCATGTTGGAACATGGATCAGTACTTCATTCCTTTTTGTGGAATACAAAATAAAAACCAGAAAATAATTTATGTCGGCATATTGAAAGCTGGGAGTTGGGTCATGGGAGGAAGGAGGTACAGGTATAAGGTATTAAGTTTAGTCAAACCCCATAGTCTGGAATTTGAATTGGGAATATCAGTGTCAGCTTTTAATGTATTTTAACTTAAAAACAGTGTGTGGATATATATATATTTCCTTGCTTTGTCCTCTTAAAAGGCCAAGAACAGTGATACTCCAGTTGTAACACAGGCCTGCGGCAGGAAATGTACCAGTTAAGGCAGGAACACCTTGTCACACGAGAGAACAGGGCAGATATGCAAGACTTACAGTTACATCTAAAGGACTGGGGCACCAGCTAGCAATAGAAGCCCTCACCGGCCAAAGAAGGGATGTGGGGATGATGCCTGCATTGTAAGGACAGTGACTGCAGTAGACTGAGGCCCGTCTGTGAATTCAAATCCATGAGTTCATAATATTTTTAAAAAGTCATTTTGATACCAAAAGTACAAGTAAAAAGGAAAAAATTAGATCATTTAGACTTCACTAAAATGAGCCACTTTGGTGCTTCAAAGGACATCAAGAAAGTGGAGAGAATCCACAGACTGAAAGAGAATCTTTGTCAATCATAGATCTGACAAGGGTCTAGGATCCAGAATGTATAAAGAACTCTTACAACTCCATAAGAAAAAAACAAATAACCCAACTCAAAAATGGGCAAAGGATCTGAATACATTTCTCCAAAGAAGATAAACAAATGGCCAGTGAGCACATGAAAACATGCTCACCATCATCCATCATCAGGGAAATGCAAACTACCACCTCGATGAGATCCCATGGCGTCCTAGCTGTAGAGCCACGCAGGAACTTGTACACGAGCAGGAAGTATTGCTTAAGCGCCAAAAAGTAGAAAAAAGCCCCAATTCCCCTTAACTGGTGAATGGAGAACAGAGCAATAATAACAAACTACTGATCCGTGCTACAGCCTGAATGAACCTTGAAAACATGCTGCTGAGTGAAGGGAACCAATCACAAAAGACCCCATATGTGAGGTTCCATTTATAGGAAATGTCCAGAAGAGGCAAATCCATAGATGCAGAAAGGAGATCAGTGGGTACTAGGGGCTAGGGTGGGGGAGGGGTGTGGGGAGTGACTGTTCATAGGGACAGGAGTGCTTTTGGGGGTGATGGTAATGTCCTGGACCTACCAAGTGGCAATGGCTGCACGGCTCTCTGACTGTCCTAATAACCACTGAACTGTGCATTTAAAAAGGGTCAATTCCTGGCGTGTGCATCTCAATACAAATATCAGCACAGCTGAATGAAAAGGATCACTGGTGTGCTCAGCACCACAGTCCCAGCCCTACCCCAGGCTGGCCGAGCCCTGAGCAGGGATACCTATCCCTTCATGGGCACTGGGGGGCTGTCAGAGTCCGGGCTGTGCTGAGGAGGGGGCAGCAGGCAGGGTGTCCCAGCCCTGGCCACTGGTCAAGGCTTTGTGGGGTCCTGAGTGATAGTTGCTCTCATGTTTCTGTCTAGGCTGTCTCCTATCTAGACCGTGTCTCCCCCCACCCCCCCAGCTCTACTCCCAGGCTGCCCTCAAGTGTGTCTCTTGGGCTCAGTGTCACTTGGGCAGATTGGGAGAATGTGTCAACAGGAGGTAGTGATCAGCTCCAAGTAGCCAGTTTTAGGCTGAGGAACTTCCAGAGTCACCGGTCTTGTTGATGTGGCTACACAGCCGAGAGCCAGGTTTGTGGAGCCCACGGACAGGGACCTGGGCTGCAAACATCATAGCAGAGCATGCTCCTGTTCCCAGCTCTCCTCCCCACCACAGCCTGTGCCTCCCATGCCCACTTTAAGTGCAGATGCTTCTTGGAGGACTTTATAGTGATGCTGGCTGAGCAGATCATTCTCGTGCATTCCTCAGAATAGTGGCGTGTCAGGGCAGGGGCAACGAGGACCTACAATGGAGAGGCAGGCCCAGCTTTCTTTCGGATACCACTGCTCACACAGGGCTCTCTGGAGCAGGCCAGGCCTCTCAGGTTGTAAGGGTTTAGGTCCTGAGGATTGGCTGTAAGCCTCCTCTGCTTCTTCAAGCCTTGAGCTCCTGGCCAGGCAGGTCCTTGCTGGGGATCCCAGCTGCCTTTGGGGTGGGGGGACTATGTCAGCTGTAACGTCTGGCCACCTGTTCTTCCTGTGAGGAGCAGGGTCATCGTAGGCCGTTCCTGCCTGGGGAGGGCAATTTGCCAAGGAGAATAAGCTTCTTCCTGGAGGTGTTCCTGAGGAACAGACTGTCATCAGGTCCCTGTGGGCTGTAGGCCCTGCTACAGTCTGCGTCCCTGCCCAAGGAACTGCGCTGGAGGATGTGTGATGGGCAACCCGAGGCTGGCAGCACTCAGTGACAGCATTCCCCAAGCCAGTCCCAAATGCTGCCGGCCCAAGCACTCCTTTCCGCTGGCCCCAGCAGGGCAAGGGGTGGGCCGGGGCCCCCGGTGTGTCCGGTTAGTGAGCACACACGGTCTTCCCTGCCCAGGGCCGGGCCTGCGCCCAGAAGCAGTTGCACCTCATGGACCAGCTGCTGGATGCAGTCCGGACCCTGACCATTGGATGCTGCTCCAGGTAAAGGCTCAGGATGGGCCCTCCACAGAATGGCTGGTAGGCGCCCTTGGAACTTTATCTGGAGCCCTTGGAACTTTAATTTTATTTTTAGACCACCAGCAGGTACATCTCCATCTGGGGTCTTAACTTTCCACTTGGGCAGCAGCAGCTACACGCTGGCCCGGTGGGGTGTGGGCCCAGTGGGGTGTGAGCCCAGGTGGAACATCCCGCTGGGGCAGTGCTCATGGTACCAGGCTGTCGGCGAGAAGGTGCAGTGCAGGCCGTAGAGAAGACAGGCAGGCCTGCCGGGGAAGGTGGGCTCTCAGAGGACTAGGGCTCGGTCCTGGCTGCCAAAGCAGGGCAGGGACTGGGGGAGACATTGTCTCCTGGCCCCTCTGCCCGGGCTCGTTTTGCCCTCTGGGTCTCCCCCAGGGGACTGAGAGCTTCCTTGGTCAGGGGTCTCAGCAAACCTGCCGACGCAGTCCCTGGAGGCCATGCTCTGGCCAGTGACAGCATGGCCTTGGGGTTCCCTTGGCAGTGTGAAGGAGGACTTCGAGGATACCAGAGAGAAGAATGAGGCACTGCTGGGGGAGCTCTTCTCTAGCCCCCAACTGCAGACGCTCCTGAGCCCAGAGTGTGACCCGTGGCCCCTGGATACGCAGCCCCTCCTTGACCAGCAGGGGTATGTGTCCTGCTTGGTTCTGTTACCTGAGACCGCCTTTCCACGTGTGGCCTGCCCTGGCGTGGGGCTGGACGTGTCCTCTCTCTCCCTGCAGGGCCAGCCCCTCTGTGGAGCTGGAGGAGGAGAAGGTGATGGAGCTGGCCAGGAAGCTGCAGGAGAGCACCGCCAAGCTGCAGATGCTCAGGGTAGAGGTGAGGGGTGCCGGCTCCTGGGGGCTATGGGACTTGGGGGTGAGGGCCTGACTAGGCACTTTGTGTCTTAGGGCAAGGAGCATCACTTCCCCAGCCTTGGGTGCCCCATCTTTACAATGAATGTGTTGTGAGGTGTAAGTGAGGTGGTATATTGTGGGTGCTCAGCCCATGGGAAGGGGAGAGGCAGACAAACTTGGGGCAGATGTGGGGAGGCTTTCCGAAGAATGGAAAGGATCGGCCTCCTGCAGGCAATGCACCAGGCCCTGGGGTCTGGGCTTTCACGTGCTTTCTTACCTGTGGCCTTCCCAGCAGCCCTTGGCCTGGCCTCCTTTTCCCGAGGAGGAGGCTGAGGCCAACACAGGCAATAGTGGCAGGGCTGAGGCCGGAAGCCAGGCGGCTTTGCTCAAAATCAACTTGCTCTTTTTTGCCTCTGGTCTTACGTATCTGATGCGGGAAGAGACTTGGTGCCCCAGGGGCAGGCAGGGCAGCCTCGAGAGCCCCTCTGCTTCTGTACTTTGCACAGCACAAGCAAGGAGTTTCTGTGAGCAGGGCCGACACCAGCACCCTGGACCAGAAGCTGCGCCTGGTCATCTCTGACTTCCACCAGCTCGTTGTGGCTTTTCTCCAAGTCTATGATGACGAGCTGGGTGAGTGCTGCAAGCGCCCAGGCCCCTACCTCCACCCGAGTGGCCCCGTCATCCAGGCCGTGTACCAGACTCTGAATTCATGCAGCCAAGTAAGAATCACCCTTTCCTCCACTACCCCCCCTCCCCCCCGCTGCTGCTGTAGCCCCCAGCCACAGATGTGAGGTCTGCGACAGGGGGCTGGGAGGGGCTTGGCGCAGTTGGGCTCTGGCCCTCAGCCTCGGGGCCTGGGGCAGGTGGGGAAGGTGCTTTCTCCTGGTGCGTGGAAGGGATGAGGGCTGACAGGCATGTTCCCTTGAGAGTCCCACTGCACTTCAGGGGGCTATTAGCTGAGCCAAGACCCTGGGCCTGGAAGAAGTTTGTGTACTGCCTGCACTGGGTCGTGGGTGACCATATGGGACCCTTATCCCAGCTTCTAGCTTCTGTCCCTGTATTAGTCTTACTCTGTCTTCACACTATGCCCAAATGTATCACAGCCAGTTCAATCTTGTGTATGACCGAGAACTATGCCAGACAGACAGACAGGTGTTTGCTCAGACAGATAGGAAAAAGTGGTCTCACACTGCTGAGCTGACTACATAAATATTTACTTACTCATTTTGTTGTTCCACATTTCAGATCCCTGGAGTCCAACCTAAAACTGCTCTGATGTTGGCCCAGGGCTTCCACGACATTTGTCTTGTTTTTTCCCAATTTTAGTTTAAGTGCTGCTGAAGCAAGCACCGTCTTGGTTTTTTAACACAAAGACTCCTAGACTTCCAAACCTCTGACCAACCTGTCCTTTGTCGTTCTGCCAACAGGGCAAGATAGGGTACGTTCCTTTCTCATCAGGAAGGCCCTGCCCCCTTTTTAAAAAATCTCAGGACATTGATTTTCCCACTGCACCTGTGGCTTCGCTTGGCTACTAGTGTGGGATGGGGCACATAATTGTGTGGCATTCCCACTGGGCCTGGAAGAAGGGACTTAGCGTGGAGAGCTCTGATCGGGGACTCTCCAGCTGGCCAGCACTCCCGTCCTCACCCTGGGCTGTCCTTGGGGGTGAATGCCACATGCTTGAGGGTCTAGGGAAGAGCACATGCTGAATGTGAACTGGGGTGGGAAGCAGGAGGCGGCTTCTGCAGATCAGACCACCGGCATCTAATGCCTATGTGCCTCTCTCTCTCCGTCCCTCCTAGCTGTTGAAAGCGGTCATGGAGGTCACTGACACCTCGGCCCAAGCCGTGGAGATGGCGAAGCAGCAGCAGGGCGAGCAGATCTGTTGGGGCAGCAGCAACTCTGTCATGAGTGTAGGTATGTGGTTGCCACGCGCTGGCGCTGTGCCTGCCTGCTCAGTGGTCAGAGGCAGGCCTGTCCCTGTGCACCTCGGCCTAGTGCCTGCCTCACGTGTGGCTCCTCCTTGCTTGACCAGCATTTGGGGAGTATTTGGGGATCGTCCCTCACTTTCTTCTTCTTCTGATGCGTAAGGTTTTTCTTCCCTTGAAAAAAAATGCTTTCTACAGATTATAAAATAAAAAGATTAATTTTGGGAGTTTGGGATAACCCAAAGATGTGCAGAGGTATAATAAAAACAGTCCATAACCTGGTGGCCCAGAGATGGTTGATGTTAATATTTTGGTCTATTTATCTATATTTTTTTCCTTTCATCATTTTTTATTTCTTTGTGTAAGTGTGATCAGAACACATATACACTTTTACATTATGCTCTTTCCCTGAGATCACGTGATAAGCATTTTCCTGGGGTGCCTGGCTGGCTTAGTCAGTAGAGAGAGCATGCGACTCTTGATCTCGGGGTTGTGAGTTCAAGCCCCACGTTGGATGTAGAGATTACTTAAAAAAAATGTTATAAGCATTTTCCCATGTTTTGGAAGTAGCATTTTTAATTGTCAAACACCCTTCTGTTCAGGTATTTGCTATAATTTGCTTAACATTTTCTATTATCCAGCCTATAAGTCATTTTTGGCTTTTTACTATTATATATGATGCTGTTGCAAGATTTAAAATAGTGGAAAATGGAAACAATCCAAAGTTTTAACATTGGGTAGTGCTTTCGTAAATAATGGTATATGTATATGGTGGGATAGTGTTCGTTGTTTCAAAAGTTGGTTACAACGACATAAAGAACTGCACATTACAGAATGTTAAAGGGAAACTGCAGGCTGATCTCACCTTTGTAAAGGGCAAACGTATACAAGAACCCCTTGTGAGAAGTGAGCCAGGGTGTGGACACTGATTTTCTCTGTGTCGGAGTCAGAGGTGGTATCGTTCATTTACTGTTTCTCTATCCTGCTCTGTAGTCTTCAGAACCTGGGTCACTTAGGTAATCCACCCCTCTTCCACTGGCAAGCTGGCCAAAAGATGCAGGAAACGTGTTGAGACATAAAGCGCGTTCCCATCTTAGATTGCGTCCTGATGACGGGACTCCTGGCGTCATGGTGGTGAGGCCCATCCCCGTTTGCTTACTGTATCCTCATCAGTGCCAGATCAGATCCTTCTGACATTTCTGTTATTGGATGTGGCAGATTGGATCTGCATTTAGTTTCAATTAAACTTTCTCTCTGAGGAAATTTATTGTTGTATTATGGAAATATGTATTCAGAAAAGGTCTTTTTAAAAAGATTTTATTTGCAAGAGAAAGAGAGAGAGAGAGCGTACAAGCAGGGGGAGTAGCAGGCAGAGGGAGAAGCAGGCTCTCTGCTGAGCAAGGAGCCCGAGGCGGGACTTGATCCCAGGATCCTGGGATCATGACCTGAGCCGAAGGCAGACACTTAACGACTGAGCCACCCAGGCGCCCCAGAAAAGGTCTTTTTTATAAGAAAAATAGTGCTTAGTGAGGAACCTCAATTCAGAGGGAGTAGAATAGGAATAGGAAATAGTTGGATATTTTCCCTGTGCTCTGGCCAACCCCCTTTATTCCAAGTCAAGTGATTTTAAAGTGAATACTTGTGTAACCATGACCCAGGTCAAGAAATAGAACATGCTAGCACCCTGGAAAGCCCCACGTGTCTCTTCCCGCCGACAGCCAGCTGCTGTCCTGACTTGATGGTAATGATGTCTCTGTGAGATTCATCTACCATGTGTGTATCTGTCATTTGTTCATTTCCATTGCCCTGTAGCTGTCGTTGGCAAACCTGTTTTGTAAAGAGCCAGATAGTGAATGTGTTCGGCTTTGCGGGCCTCCATAGCTTGTGATGTGAAACCAGCTGCTGATGTCACGGAGACCCTTTCACAGCCCCTCTTCTCCTCTTGGTCTCGAGATCCTCTTGGTCTTTGGCTCTGGACAGTCAGGTTATAATCGGTCTTGGTGTGGATTGCTTTGACTTTATCCCTTTTGGAGTTTGTTGAGCTTCTTGGATAGGTAGCCTCATTTCTCATCAACACTCACCAGACACTTGACCTTCACTTCATTTCTCTTTCACTTCCTGCCTGCTCTGAGCCTCGGGGTCAGCCAGAGGTGACTGTTGAGGTCCTTGTCGGCTCTCTCCGGGGTATCGGCACAGCCCTGGGCGTGCACGTGGCCTTGTAGAGCGCCAGGACTGCCAGAACTCCTCAGAGCCCTTGTGGACATCCCACTCCCCAGCTTCTCCCAAGACCCAGCAGTAGCAATGAAAGCGTTTGCCTGTAAATGTTTCCCCCCAGAGCACCCCCAAGGAGTGGCTTTAGCTCACAGAGCCTCTGAGCGCCCCCTTTGTGTGGACTTTCCAGCCAGCCCTCTCCAGCAGCCTTCTTGCTGCTCTTGGCCTTGGCACACATATTTGCCACGTGTATACCAGGCACTTGGGAGTCTCTTCTTCCTGACTGACCTGCCCCAAAGTCATCCATTTTAAAATTTGTCGTAACATTTATCCTAGTCACCACTGTCACTATGGCTTCCCCCCACTGTACCTAATTGCTGTTAATAAAATGCTATCATTAATAGAATAATGGTCATTAGTGTCCTTTGCCATGTGCCGCCGCACCTGTGATTACAGGACTGCTGGCAGGGCTAACGGTGACGTCTGAGCTGTGAGAACCTCTCCCTCCCCCTCCTCCCGTGGGATGCTTCACAGGCTCGCCCTTGAGATCCTGGCCCCCTCAGTGGGTCTGGAGAGTGGTGAGGGCAAGCATGGCACCTCCAGATGTTGTTTGAGATGAGTTCTCAAACAACACAGACACACCAAAGCAGCAGTCCATGCCAACTCCACGCCAGGGCCAATCAGAACGGCCTCCCCACCTTCCCTGTGTCCCACCCGACCAAACCCAAGGCCTTCAGGCCCTGCAGCTGTGGGAGGTCTGCATGTCTGTGGCACTTCCCTTCCCAGGACAGGAAGCTAGGCCACCATTCTGTGTGTCAGTAGCCAGGCTGTGTTGGTCGCACATCCCCACATCGGAAGGGAGGGGCTTGAGTGAGGGGCTGGGTGTGCCTGCTGGGCCTGTGTCCTGAGCTGTGCCATTGTGTGCATGGAGAGGGCCTGATGACGAGTGGGGAGGGTCGGGAGGGTCGTTGGGGCCGGGCTTATCGCCCTGAGGCACACCCCATGATTCCTGAGCCTCAGAGTCACCTCTGGACAGGCGGGACCAAATGTCAATTAAAGACCGTGCCATGTGGGAGGGGAGGGGACAGGCCAGAGGCAGAGAGGCAGGTTGGTGGAGGAAGGAATAGTGTATTTAAGTGAAGGCACCACTAACCAGGGGAACCTGAGGGAAGAGCCCAGAGTCCCCAGGGTGGGGGAGGGGAGTGAGCTAAAGGCCCTGTATTTCGTGCCCAGTGCTCATTATGTGAAATTGGGACGTCAAGAGGCAGGTGCGAATTATGGCGGTGCCCCCAGCCCTGAAAGCCCAGCAGCAGGGCAGAGCAGTTGCCTGCAGGGCCGGTGGGGCGGGGGGTGGGCGGGGGCGGGTTGTGCAGCTAAGGCCCGTGTCATTTGATTTGTATGTGTGCCTGGGTTACTGGTCTGAGCAGTAGGGAACACACCATCCGACTCAGGAGAACCCCTGGCTCCTGGGCTCTGGTGAGGGTTGGGGTGGGCATGGACAATGCCCACTGAGTGGAACCTGGCCTGGGGCTCAGCCTGGCACCCACAGGGGCCTTCCATCTGTGCTCTCAGCCCTAGACCTCCTGGTAGCTCCTGGCTTGGCAGTTTCTGGATCACGGTGGGAGGTGGATGCCTAGGCTGCAAGCCCTTTGAGGGTGCAGGGACGCCTAGGGCCTGAGAAGAACCAGCGAAAGACAGTGAAGGCTTGGCTGGGGTTGGGGGCGGGGGCAGGTAGGGAGCAGCCTCTTCCAGGCCGGGAAGCGCTGGGAGTCACTTTGCTGTTTGTATTGTTTTTTTCTCTGCAGCCACCAAAGTGGAAGAACTAACTCAGAAATACAAGATCTTCAGTGACAGTCTGCAGAAAGGCATGGAGTAGTCTGTGAGCAGGAAGCTCTGCCCTGAAGAGTCAAGTGGCCGGGGGTGGGGGGCGCAGGGTGAGCCACGGGCGGGAGAAGCGTTCACAGCCCCCATGTGCTCCGGGCCCAGCCCCTTCAGCGGCTTGGGAGAGAAGGAGGGAGAGGGCAGAGGTGAGCTGGAGAGAAAGGAAAGCTGGAGTTCTAAGAAGCTGCCTCATGACTGCCTCCTTCTCTGCTTCCTCGCTGCACCTGAGGGGGCCATGGCACCCGCTGCTCGGTCTGCCCTTCCTCCCGCTGTCCCAGGCGGCCCCAGCCATGCCCCTCTTCTGCCCTGTCTGCCTCGCAGCAGCTCCCGTTGACTTCTGTTCCTTCCCTGCCCAGGGGCGATGCTAAGCCCCAGAAATCTGCTGCCTCCGTTGTGACTGGCCTTGGGGTCCCACGTGCGGACTCCTCCCACACCCTCGGCCTGGCCGCTGGCGCCCACCACATCCAGGATCCAGTGGCCAGGGCGTGTGTTTCCTCCTCCTTCCTCCCCAGGGCTCCCTGCACCGGCCTGTCACAGCCACCTCCCTCCCTCCACACTTGGGAACAGGCATGACTGGTGGGGCCTCTGCCTCCCTCAGCCCAGTGGCAGGCCAAAGGGGACTCGAGGAGGGGCCACCCTCTCAACACTTGGTCCACTGCAGAGGCCCACGCTGGCTGTGAGCCTCGCCTGCTCCCGTGCCGTCACCTCCTCAAGTCCCCTGTGGGTGCTCCAGACAAGGAGACTGCTGGTGGGGGAGGGGAGAGGACGGGCAGGCCCAGGGCCACTGCTGCCCAGCTGCATCAACAGCTTCACCCTCCAAGGGACTAGGGAGGGCCTGCAGTGGGCAGGCCGCAACCAGCATCTCGGTTGCCTCCCTGTGCCCCTGGCCTGTGGGCACCGACTGCCACAGTCGGTGGCACCGACTGCCAAGGGCTGGCATGTCTCGCTCCGGAACGAGGTCTTCGGGACAATGCTGCCCGCTTTCTGGCCAGGGAGGGCCTTCTTGTCTTTGCTCTGAGGGGTCCTGGGGCTGGGGGTACTGCTGAGGCGGTCTCGTACCCCCACCTTTCCTGTGGCTCATCCTTCCTCACGTGGTGGGACAGGATTGGTTCAGCTGGAGCCCACGTGGCTTGCCAGGTCAGGCCTCGCCCCTCTTCCTCCTTCCTGGCAGCCTCTGCTAAAGGCCTCTTAGATATTATGGGTCATTGTGCCTGTGAAACATATACCATCTCCCCTTCTTGCTGGAAGACTAGCCTGTGAGATGTGTGAGCCCGGCAGCATGGAAAGTGCCCGAGGTCACTGGGGCGAACCGAGGTCCCATCCTGAGTGCGCCCTTCCCTTTCTTGGCTAAGCACGGCACGTGCAGTCACCTCTTGCCCACTCCTGAGCTCACTTTAGCCTTATGAGGGGCAACCTGGTCCCTCGTGACACAGGTGGAGCTCTGCCCTGGAGAAGGGGGCTTGCCACCTTGCTGGGAGTCGCCCCAGCTCAGCTGCTAAATCCTGGCCCGGGTCAGACTTGGAGGCCAGGCTGGGTGGAAGGCTCACACTTCTTCCTCATGCCTGTGATGACACGTTCCTCCAGCCCACGGCCCAGCTTGTGGGGAGCCTGCGTGTGGCCTAGGAGCCTGCTTTCCAATTTGTAAACACAGGGCGTGTGTCTCAGCAGCTGTGAGCGAGCGAGGGGCTGGCAAGCCGGCTGTACAGGTCCTGCGGCCTTAGGCCTCCTCGTTGCCCAACAGGCGGCTGGGGGCGGGCCACGGCCACTGATTAAAGGCCGCCTGGAGCAGCCTGTGTGGAGACAGGTGCCCAGCAGCCCAGGAAGCCGGCCAGCACCCGCCCCAGGTAAGCCAGCGCAGCAGGGTTGGTGAGGACAGCTGCCAGGAGCCCAGAGGCAGGTGGCCAGGTTGGGGAAGGCATCTGTGTGCCAGGGAGGCCAGAGGAGGCCAAACCAAGGATGCTTGGCTGCCTGCTTCCCGACAGATGACCCTAGGGGTGCAGGCTCCCAGCCAGGGTGTCTCAGTGAAGACACCATTCTAGGCTGGCACCTCCCCAGGTCCCTGGTGACACGGACCCGGTGCACTTTGCCTGTCAGGTACCTGGAGGCAGGTGGCAGAGGCCTTCGGGCCGGGATCTGGGCAGAGCAGCCCTACCTTCTGCTGTTTACTAGTCGGTAGTAGTGACAATGGCCAGGGAGGGACTGGGGCACGGAATGGAGAGGGTGTCGAGGCCCCGGGAGGCCTCACCCTGAACAAAGGGGTTGGAGCTTGTGGGAGTCGGCTGTATGTGGCTGGGCCCAGGCATCCCCATCACTTTGGCCCTCAGGTTTTGTGCCTCTTGCCCTGGCAGCTTTAGGCTTTGCTGTCCCCGTGAGCACATCACCATGTCCGAGGCACCCCGGGCCGAGACTTTCGTCTTCCTGGATCTGGAAGCCACTGGGCTCCCCAGTATACATCCCGAGGTGGCTGAGCTATCCCTGTTTGCGGTGCACCGCTCCGCCCTGGAGAACCCAGACCGAGACGAGGCTGGTGCCCCTGTGCTGCCCCGGGTCCTGGACAAGCTCACGCTGTGCATGCGTCCAGAGCGCCCCTTCACCGCCAAGGCCAGCGAGATCACCGGCCTGAGCAGCGACAGCCTGGCGCGGTGCCGGAAGGCCGGCTTCGACGACGCCGTGGTGCGGACGCTGCAGGCCTTCTTGAGCCGCCAGGAGGGCCCCATCTGCCTTGTGGCCCACAACGGCTTTGATTATGACTTCCCCCTGCTGTGCACAGAGCTGCGGCGCCTGGGCGCCCACCTGCCCCCGGACACCGTCTGCCTGGATACACTGCCTGCGCTGCGGAGCCTGGACCGTGCCCACAGCCATGGCACCCGGGCCCAGGGCTGCAAGGGTTACAGCCTGGGCAGCCTCTTCCGCCGCTACTTCCAGGCCGAGCCAAGTGCAGCCCACTCAGCCGAGGGTGACGTCCGCACCCTGCTCATGGTCTTCCTGCACCGCGCTGCTGAGCTGCTTGGCTGGGCTGACGAGCAGGCCCGAAGCTGGGCCCGCATCGAGCCCATGTATGTGCCACCCGATGGCCCGAGCCTTGAAGCCTGAGTGCCACGGGCTCAGTGAGACCACCACCCAGGGGGATGAGGCCCACTCTCAGCATGCGTGGCACCAGCTTTGACCAGTCAGGCTCTGAGGCCTGGAGGTGGCCCCGGACCAGGGCCCCACTGCCCCTCCCCCCGTCCTTGTAGCCAGCTAGCCCCGGGCCTGTGCACCTGCCAGGCCTCCTCCTGGCCCCGGCCTGTGTAGCCTTGTAGCCCTGGAGCTTTCCGCCAGCCCCACCCCCGGACTGTGCTGTAGTGATTTGTTGCTGCAGGCTCCCGCCCTTCACCTGGTCTTTCAATAAACAACAGCTACTCACCAGCTGAGTTTCCAGTTGCCCCCCTACACCCTGCCCAGAGGGGCGGGCAGGGAGCCAAGCCAGGGGCCAGAGCAGAGCCCCCCCCAGAGCCGCCCCCTTGTGACCTATGCTTGTGGTGAGCCTGGTGGGTGGGTGGCTGAACTGGTGAGGGGCCATTGCTCAGAGGCTGGTCCACGGCGCTGGCGGGCAGGGGCTGTGGGTCCCCAGCCATGGGCCTCCTCCCCCGCTGGTCTGCTGTTGCCTTGGTTATCACCCCCTCCCGGCATTGTCACCCCGGAGGCTCAGGAAATCGGTGAGCAGGGCCTTAGGAACATCTGCCTTGCCTGGAATCTGAGCTGGGGAGGGAGCTGGAAGAGAGCCTCCAGGGAGCTCAGGCTTTTTTGGCTCAGGGTGCTGTGCCCACAGAGCCCTCTGCCGGCCTAGATGCAGAGCCCGGCTCCAGTTCTTGCCCCCTGTGGATCCTGGGCAGCTCCTTCCTCTCCTGAAGCGTCTGTCCCTGCTCTGCAAGGTGGCAACAGGACGAAAGATGGGTGCGCAGAACAGTACGGTGCCTGACGTGCTCAGGGTGCTGGAGAACATGGGACATAGGCCGAAAGGGCATGTGGGGTGAGGGGTGCAGGAGGGGGTGGCTGGCGCCGTGAGGGCAGCACCTAGGAGTTTGTCTTGGGCCCCGTGACCCTTGTGGCTCGGCCTGAGGAGGGCCAGGAGGCTGTTCTGCTGGGGAAGGCAGCTTCTCGGCAGCTGTCTTTGCTGGGCTTTGGGGAGCCAGCTAACCTGCCTCTGGGGCCCCACCTGTGTCACCAAACAATGGGGCAAGGCAGGGGCGGGATGTCTGGGAGACAGGGAGAGCAGGGGAGAAGGGTGGGGTGGGTGGGGTGGCCACGCCCGAGAGTGACTTGCATGAGCAAAGCCTTGAGCCAGCCGGGCCCATCCGGGATACTCTAACTAGGTCAGTGACTAGAGCCACTGCAATGTGTAAGGTAGAAGAACGGTGAGGTCAGGACACAGGCAGTGGCCACCTCAGGCCATGCCCGTTGCCTGGGCATGATGGTCTGGACTGACCCTGAGGGCAGTGGGGAGCCACAGAGAGTTGTAGGCAGGGAGGGGCAAAATCTGACTTAGGTTTTCACGCTGTTTCTCAGGCTGCCCTGTGGAGAATGGCAGCCAAGGGAGAGCAGAGCAGTGGCATTGGGGCTCAGTTGGAGGGAGAGCCACTGGCCTGGCCCAGGACAGGCCGGCAGCGCTGCGGGAGGGTACACGGTAAGGGAAGGACCTATTGGGGGCTAGTTGGGGGGGGGGTGTGTGGTCTGTGCACTGTTGAGCTTCCCGGGCCAGGCTGGTGGGCTCCCTGCCCCAGGAGAGCACCCGCCTGGAAGAGGGCCACAGGCCAGGCCAGGGTGGGCCCTTGGGCCCAGAGCCTGCACCAGGCAGGGGCTGAAAGGGTAGGGGACACCATCAGGATCGAGGCAGCCAGGAACCCTCAGATCCTCTGGTGCCCGAGCAGGGCTGGGTCCCCATTAGCTAGCCGTTCAAGCTCTAGGCCACTGACTTGCTGAGGTGGTGATGTCGGGAGTGGTCTCCGGGCCCAGATGCCTCTCTCTCCCCACCTCGGGCTCTCCTGGCCTCAGGCACCCTCCCTGGGCCCAC